TCTTATGGTGGTTACTCATAGATTCATGGAATGGTAGATCTGGAAGGAGCCAGAAGAGTCATCTAGTCCAGACTCGTGTCAATTCAGAAATTTACTCCCCCTCTTCATAAAAATGGAAAGTTTTTTCTCTCCTTTGAGTAGCCAGCTGTAAGCAGACTTGAATGCTCACTGAAAAAGATATGTGTGGTGTGCCCTCAGTAAGTGCCTTCCATTATGCAATGGGGATTACATCAAATCTGAACATAGTATTTTTAGAAAACAGCCATTTAGGGACCTGACCAAGTTTAAATAATTATGATGTCTGGCTCAGACATGTTATTTACAAAAATGCTTCTTCCATTAGGCACTATTTTTATTAAATGAATACACCCAGTGGGATACCTTTTCCTCCAATTTTTTATTATTTATTTTTCACAACAATAACACATTGCCATTACATACAATGCTACATAAATGTTACTCCACATAGTCACTGTTGTTATTCAGACAAACCTATTCCATTTGTACTTTGAAGAATGACAAATAAGCACAAAGACTTTTCAATATACTCTTTTACATGGGTTTATGATATTATTAACTTATTGCTAACATTTTATTTTCTGACACCCAATCCAGTCCCAGCCCCTGAACAACAATGTCTGCTTTTTCCAAGTGCTAATCTTCTTCACAAACCCAGCAGGAGCAGTTGCTCTGAGAGCTAAGTAATAGTTGCTTGCTGCTGGGTAATTTCCAAGGGCTTTGGAAACCTTGTTTTATAATGTTTGTGGTTTTCAAGAAGTAAGCAATGCACTGGGACAAACAACTGTTGTCTCTTGTCCCAGTTTCTTCAACAAGCTGCAAATACCTCCATTCTCCTATGTAGTCAAAACCTAGTAAACAGGACTGCTTTGTAAGCTGCCACAGTATCGTGTGGGTAGCACGAATAGTGCTTTGCTATCAACTATTTTGACATTTCTTCCATTATTTGCTTATTTTTCTGCATCTTTCTATAATGTCTGGTCCGCACAGAACATCCACTCTGTCCTTAACTACCTAACCTTTTCTACCTAACCTAATAAAAGTAAAACTAACAACAACAACAACCTGAAAAACAAGTTGTTCAAAGAATCCAGAGCACTAAGTTTGACTTATACAAAAAGTGATTGCTTTGTAAGTATGGGAAATGGAGTTTATTAAGTGCTGACAGAAACTAAGCCCTTATGAAAACAAGGGAGCTATCAGCATACAAACTCCAAGGTTTGCAGCAGCAGTACCAAAATTAAAAAACAAACAACCCTAAAAAGGCAAGCTCCAACAATGCAGAATGAGCGTGTAAGTGGTTATGGAATCAGGGCATAGTTTCTAGACCGCAGGAAGATGGCTCATCTCAACATTTTGGGAGGGAGGCCACCTATGCACTGAATGATGAACATTATTTGAAAAAGAAAATGAAAAACTGAGGGCTTAAATGGAATTAAATATAGTATCTTGGAAGACATGGCTTAGCTGGCTAGAAATTAAATGGGCATTCATGTTAGGCTAAGACACTTGCCAATATTTTCTCTAAGATCCCACTTATATTGATTCAAGATCCCACTTATATTGACCTCGATATCTAGCGGAACGCCTCCTCCCACCTAGGTCTACCCGAATCACGCGTTCCAGCCAAGATGGGCGGCTGAGGGGCCTAACACCAAGGGAGGCCCAGAGAGAAACAATAAGACACCGGGCCTTCTCGGCAGTGGCCCGCGTTCCAGCCAAGATGGGCGGCTGAGGGGCCTAACACCAAGGGAGGCCCAGAGAGAAACAATAAGACACCGGGCCTTCTCGGCAGTGGCCCCTCGCCTCTGGAACAGTCTGCCCACAGAGATCTGGCTGGCTGGGTTTTTTAAGAGCAAACTTAAGACCTGGCTCTTTAGGCAGGCTTTCCCTCCCATCACCACTTGAATATTTTTCCCATCTTGAACCATATTACTACTGTTGTTGTTTTTTTATTTTACTGTATGTTTTTATTATATCTATTATCGTTAGCCTTATATTGTTTTTACTTTTACGTATTATTGTTAGCCGCCCAGAGTAGACTTTGGTCTAGATGGGCAGGGTATAAATTGAATAAATAAATAAAAATAAATAAATTCAAATCACAAATTAAATTCCGTGGTGTTTACTCAGTGAAGCACTTTACAGTAAATTGTATAAAACTGAAAGGAATACTTCTAATTTTGATTTTTGTGATCCTACACACTCTTGAGACTTGGACAAGGTATAAATCCCTTTTAAAATTATCTTGCATAACTGATGTATGTTGATTGCACAACTGTTTCATTGTATTATGACATGACCATCATATTTTTGTTCCAGAAAGCTTTTAATTGAAATAATATCAGGCGTGGGTCCGATGGCAGTTTTTAGAGTATATATATTTTAATTGCATTTCAATTATTTTGCCTTTTTGTATTTAAAATGTTGTAAGCCGTGCAGAGACCTTTGGGTAGTGTGGGCGGCACTTCAAAAAACTAACTGATGTATGTTGATTGCACAACTGTTTCATTGTATTATGACATGACCATCATATTTTTGTTCCAGAAGGCTTTTAATTGAAATAATATCAGGCGTGGGTCCGATGGCAGTTTTTAGAGTATATATATTTTAATTGCATTTCAATTATTTTGCCTTTTTGTATTTAAAATGTTGTAAGCCGTGCAGAGACCTTTGGGTAGTGTGGGCGGCATATAAGTTAAATGAATAAATAAATAAATATTTTCTTATGTTCAAGCAGATCTACTCAAACTACATTCAAAACACTATATTTAAAACACATACTGTACACCAGATACTGAATTTTTCAACCAATTTCAGTGACTCTAGTCCAGACTAAGCCTGCAAGACTACACATGGGTGCCTGAGAATAAGTTCCACCGAACTGAGACTTGCTTTTAATCAAGCAAGCATAAAATTGCAATGAGCAGACAACGTCTAGAACGATCTCAGTGCTGAAATCACAGGTGTTGGACCTATTAACATATTTAATACCAACTGAAACTTTTCTTCTATCTGAGGCATCAAGTACAATCACAATTAGGTGTACAGTATTAAACATCCTAAAACATACATAGTTGTTGAAGAAATGTACCTGATTGGCTCTCTTTTCATATTTACAACTAATACAGGCATCACACCTGCCAAATTAGTTTTTGTGCAGTTCATATAAGTTAATGACTGTTGGTCTTATGTGCCATCAAGTTGGAAATGACTTACAGTAACCCTGGCTTTTCAAGGTAAGCAAGATGTTTAAGAAGTAATTTTACTAATTGCACACCCTCAGACGTCCTGAGTTCTAGTCTTTCACTCTATCCACTACACCACACTGCGTACACCAAATTAACGACTACCATGCTTTTAATACCTTCCTCTGTACTAGATAGAACCAAATTAACGACTACCATGGTTTTAATACCTTCCTCTGTACTAGATAGACTGACTGAATAAAGGAAGCAATGGGCTTGAGTTTGCAAGACCCGAGCCAGGCTGTTAATGACAGGACCTTTCAGAGGTATAAAGTCACTATAAATGAAAAGTGACTTGATGGCATATGTGTAACAACTGTTGCTGGGATTCAGCATAGGTAGTTACATCACTATGTACAAAACTAGGTAAGGTGAAGGTAAAGGTTCCCCTTGACAATTTTTGTCCAGTCGTGTTCAACTCTAGGGGGCGGTGCTCATCCCCGTTTCCAAGCCATAGAGCCAGCGTTTTGTCTGAAGACAATCTTCCGTGGTCACATGGCCAGTACGACTTAGACACGGAACGCTGTTACCTTCCCACTGAGGTGATCCTTATTTATCTACTCGCATTTGCATGCTTTCGAACCGCTAGGTTGGCGGGAGCTGGGACAAGCGACGGGAGCTCACTCCGTCGCGTGGATTTGATCTTACAACTGCTGGTCTTCTGACCCTGCAGCACAGGCTTCTGCGGTTTAGCCCACAGCGCCACCACGTCCCTCACACAATACTAGGTACATTACCTATGGTGCATTAAATTCTCTTTCTCAGTTTTCACATCCTGTAATCTAGAGATTAAAGGTCAGTCAGTGGACTAACCAATTCCAGCCCTTACTTAATATTATTTAATAAGGTTTGTGAGAAATCTTTGCACTGAGACAACATCACTGACAAAAACTACATGTCTTTTTGCACAGTTCCATAAATTAATATTTAATTAATATTTAATATTTAGCAACACAATGCAATTTAAATGCAGATTAAATTTAAGAAAAACAAAGTTAATTGTGGGTCAGAGAGAAAAGTTACAGTTCTTCCTATTTTCACAACACTTTCAAACAAATGTGCACACACATATCAGAACATGCAGCACACTTTATATGTCCTTCACAGAATTCTTCAGAATTCTTTTGCAAATTTAGTACTAGTTTCTTTGTGGTCCTTCTTCATATATTCATGTTTAAGCATAAACATTGCTTTTCCATATAGATCACTTCAAACAGTCGTTGCAAGAGCAACAATTGTTATATCAGAATCCATTTCTTCATAGAGATTTAAAAAACAGAGTTACAGCTCTCTTACTACGGAGCTGAACAAATCAGGACACTTTAGCTTGCAAGTTTATATCTAAAGCTCATATAATGAAAGAAAAAATACAGTACTTTGAAAGATTAGGCTAGAAGGGTATTTGACATATTTTTTGAACTATAAGGAATAAAGCACTTCAGAAAAAAATAAAACCACTGCTGGAATTCATAGAAAGAACAGAGACAACACAGACAGCATTGCCCTTAAGGGAACGGCAAACCAGAGAATGGAAATGTTTTTCTGCTTTGCGGAGGATTTTGCTTTTAACAGTTGTGCCACAACAAAGCATTTTTATTGAACTGCCTGCTCTGTGCCAGATCAGGACACATCAAATCTTATTTTAATGAGCTTTATGAAAACCCCAACACGACCAGATGAGATGGAAGACCCAAATTTATTTATTTATTTATTTATTTATTTATTTGTGCTTACTTGTTTTTCAAAAGCCGTTGGCACGAGTCGCCTCAGTTCAGACAAACTGTTATTTATACGATCACGGCGTCTTTTCTCTATAATCTGTTTCCAAAACAAAAGCAAAATATATGTTAAAAACCGCAAAGGGGCATAAAGGCTACCACATGAGGCCAACAAATGCAGCCATTACATAAACTGGGGAGGTGGGGACATGGGAGAAAGCCTTACCCCTCTTCTTTTTTTCCTGGCCATAATCTGGGATGTTGTTGTAGGAGAATTTGATCGGATCACAGAACTGGCACTGTGCCTGAAGAAGAGTTGAAAAGTCAGGTGCAAAATCCCATCGTTCTGTTTCTTACAGAGATTTACTTCCCCCACTCCCTTTAAATACCTTTGTATAAGACAACAACAGTGAAAACATGAGTTGCCCTCTCCCTCTCTTTTAGATTTGCAGGCCAAGCAGTTTTATTGAAGAACGGTCCTAGACAAAGTCTAAAATTGGAGTTTTGCTGCACTGGGCAATCTCCACACTGACAAATATATTAATGGCTGAAATTCACTAGTGAGTTGCAACTGGAATAGACCCATGGAATCAGTGGAACTGACAGGGGAGTTGTCTCAGCAAAACTCCATTGATTCAATGGGCTTTCTCTAGTTGTGACTTACTACTAGATTTCCATCAACAATTACATAGGTGTGAGCTAGACGGGACATCAAAAGGACATGTAACATTTGGTTCCTTAGCATATTCAAGGAGGTTGGCCTGCAATATCTTTTTCCGCCTACCCACACACCAAGGTATAAAATTAATCTGCCTTCTTTTGATGTGAATGATGCACATTTGGTAGAAAACAACATTTTCCAAACAAAATATATATAGAAGCAGCAATCTGAGTTCATTTCCATCTATCCTGCAAATCATGAACACATAAAAACGTTTCACAGCCAATGCAAGGCACTTGTAGTTTAACTCAACTGATATCTATTTTCAAACAGTAGGATGTAAGAAATGGTCATTGGATGTCTCTTACATTATATATATATAAAAGAATACTGTGTGGCCTATAAGCAAAATCCCACATCAGGATTGAATACATTTACTAAGCATTAAAATTTTATATTTTTGTGGTTTATGATAAGTATTACCTAATTCTAACTCTGAATGTTCCATGGAGATCACTGAGATGGAACCATTGCATGTTCTGGTCTAAGCTACTTCATCAAAATGGATATGAAGCCTTGTTGTCCAACCTCTGATACTCATCAGGTTTTAACTCATTAGGTACTGTACTTCTGTTGTGTAATCTCCATTCATTTCCATATGACAACCTCTTGTCCCATTTAGTAGACAGTAGCTGTAAACTACCAGACTGCTCTAAATTTAAGGCAAACTCTAAATACCTTTACTTATAGATCATACTGCTTTAGTTAATGCCATCATGTGCCATTGATTTCAATATGATGAAGAGGCATTTTCCTGTTTTCACTAGATCATTTCATTTATTTTTAAAAATGACTACTGACATTACCCATGACAATTATTTTATCTTCCTATCAACAAAAAACAAGGTATTTGTAATGACCTTACATATGTTTACTTAAGCATTCCTGAGATACTATAGGCATTAAAACCTAGTTTTCTCTCTCATGTTCTCTCTCACACACATTTTCCTCCCGTACATTTAATCCAGCTACATTTTTTTGCTGTATCCAGACAGTAACATTAATTGGATTTAAATTCTCCCTCAGGCCATGGATTCACAAAGCAGACTTTTGAGAAGACAGTTCTGGAGAAAGTGGCTTGTGGCATACCATTTTAATTGGGTCTAAAGTTTACAGCTTGCACATAACTTTCATAAAAATTCAGATTTCATTAAGATTAATTGTCCAGTTAATCTGCACTAGCCAGCTTGATTGGAATCAGGACAGAAAAGCAGTCCTGCATAGCAAATATAAATCGCACTGCCCAATATTAAACATTACTTCTGTGCAAATGCCCTGAGGTAAAGTATGAATATAGGTTAATTTAAAATGGATTATCAAAGGTGATTGGATTAATTGCATCATGTGTGTAACACCATATAATACTCCCAGGGCATACTGGATTTGCCTCAGTAAATCCAGAGAAGGAAAATATCACTGTAAAAATCAAAAAGAGTAGCTGAATTAAAACTACTTTTGCTGCTATCAATTTCTACAACTGTTGACTAAAATCAAACAGAAATTACAATAATATGTGGGCAACTACAGCTAAGCATTTTTAGTACTGTTTCCAGCAGAAAAAATATAAGTGGACAACTAATTGTCTTACTGATGTTAGTGAAGCTCAAAATTGTTTTAACTTTGTTTCAATCACTGTTTTGTTTTGTTTTCCTACTTTGATTCTACAATGTTAGCATAACAAGGAATAAAACAAAACAGGTCTATTACTTCTTTCATACCTTGACTTGTTCTATGTTTTCTTCAGAATTACAAAAAGACCCCAATATGTTCAAGATTCAATAATACTAAAATTTAGTTCACCAGTAAATGAAAATTTCTCATCTGACTGATACATTTCTTGTGAATCCTTCTTCTCCTTAACAGATGCCTTTCTTCAGCATCACCCATCTCAGGATATGAAGACTGTGATAGGTGGGTAGTGAACCAACACACTCTCTCTCCTTATTATTCTGGAGCAAAATGTGACCAGAGTTTCCATAATGTTCTAATCAACCTCCCTTTTCCCCCTCCTAGATGTATTACTGCTTCTCTTTTCTAGCAAACCAACCAAGTGGTTATGATTTCCAGCTCATTCAATCGCCACTAAAAATCACACCTGAAAAGCATCTACCAACAATAGCCCTACTTAATGTTAGGCACAGCTCACATACGGCCATCTCCCAAGAGCACAGATAGGGCTTTCCAACATTAGATGCTCCCTGAGTTTAAATTAACTCTAGGATGCAGCAGAGTTCAACATCTACACAGAAGGTACTCACGTTCTTATCATTACTGCTACTACTTAACATTTGGAAATTGTGAACAACAGACTGATCTTAGATATGACATTGTCAGCCCTTTCCCTCTTCCACCTCTTTTCATTTTTTCGCTTAACATGAAGTAAGGTTTTAGCAAAACCAAAAGCTTGCTGTCTACCAAGCAATTTCATAACTAGCTGTAATATAAAGGTTGTTCCTTGGCATGCTTCTTCTGTACCTTGACAGCTTTCCATAACAGCCGCCTTGGCTTCTTTTTAGGAGAAAGATGGAGTATAAGTATTTTAAATAAATTAAGTAAAATAAATCTTATGTACAGTATCCCTACCCATCTTTGCTACTATAAATCTGACTGACCGGAAGGTATCTTGAAGGGAAATGTTACAATTGGGAGTGCCCATTAGAAAGAACAAGAGTGAATATGAAAGATGATAATTTGGTAGAGAGCAGCAGTCACTACAGTAAGTTTAAGAACAAAGTTAGCCCAGAGCCACTGCATAATAACCTAAAGAAAATATAAATACTGTACAGTACTTGACAGGTTGTGTAACACTTTACAGAAGTCAGAAGAGGCACCATGCAGCTGGTGTCTTATATGGTGGGCCACTTGGAAAGATTAGCACTTAGTTAAGTTATTAAATCAGCATTCAGCCAAGTTACTTTTATAGGTTGCACCTTCAAGACTCTCCCAGCAGCTGGGGAATTCTGGGACTTATAGTCCAAAAAAAAAAAAGTAATTTTCCCAGGCTCTAGTAGTTCTACCATGCCATGCTTAAGCATAAAAAGAAAGCCGCTGGGTGGGTGGCGGGGTTGTGCACATTTTTTCTCCATATTCTATTTATACTTAGTTTTCAAGTCGTTCTCCCCACCTACTCTCTTAAAGCATCCCCACAACCGGAAAGAAGAGGCATTATATACATATATTTAATCCAAACGTTTTCTTACCCAGAATAATTATTTTCACTTCCTACGTCTATAGTCTCATCCATATCGCTGTCTGAGGTAGTATCCTCGCATGGCCGCTTCATCGTGGCCAAAGGAGCCAGTCCAGCTTCCAAATTAGGAGATGAATAACAGAAGCTGAGGGTTGTGGGGCTGAGTTTCTCTCTCTCTTTTTTTTTTCTTTTAGTTTATGGTCTCTCTTTTAGACAATCCCTGGATTAAGCCCACCTCACCCCTCCGAGCCGGCGCCAGCAAACCGACTGGATTTCTGTAGGTCTTTCCCACGCTGCAGTTGTGTCTCAAGCAGAACTCCCCGCCCACTCCGCCGCGAAGCCCCGCCTCCTGCCCGAGTGAGCCTATGGATTGGGGAAACACAGGAGTGAGTGACAGGCGACCTCGCCAAGCGCCTCCGTTCTCCTCCTCGCCATTGGCTAAAGCGCGGCAGCGGTCCCCGCGCCAAGCACTCCTGGGTGTCTTCTTGGAAGCGTGGGAAAACCCCAAGTATCTCTCGCCCACAAGGGAGACGGGCGGGAAATGGGGGAGGACGGCTGGCGCTGCCTGGGAGGCACCTTCAGGTCTGCGGAGGCTGGACGCAGCCAGCTTGCTTGGGCCGTAGGAGGAACGGGTCGAAACGTTTGTTTCTGCTCCATGGATCTCCATGCGCTGCAGAGCGGCGGATGAAGCCCAGTCATGAGGAACACGGATTAAGGACTGCAGAGTAATAATAAAAATAATAATAATAATCACTCTACACAAGACCATTCGAACTGTTGACACTTCTCAGGTCTGCGCCTCCCCCCCCCGGTTGAAAACGTTATGGAACGTGTGAGCGGAGTAGGGAGGATGGTGTGGAGGCTGTAGCTGGCTGTCTTTTGCACGCGAGCATGGGCTCCATACAAAGGGGGCGGCACAGCAAGAGGGGGTGGAAGAGGGGCACCGAGACACAAGTTGGTGGAGCGAGCGGTTTTTGAAATTTTAAAAGTGCAAACCTGACCATCGTGAGACAGCTAGCGCGCTCCGGCCCCTTTGCAAACCACCTATGGAAGGGAAACAACAATATATACGCACACACGCACAAACCCGCTCAAGTATGATGTACACCGTTTGTCCCCTCAACTTCCAAGGTTGTCTGGGAATGAAACCCTTTCGGGCAAAGTTTAAAATCTGAACCGCTCAAGTCTTCCCTTTCTCTCTTACAGACTGGAGGGAAGAAGAGGTGGCTCTGGGTACGTTATTCCCTCACTTTGGGTCGTGCAGGGCTCTTGAACGGAGGGGGGGGGGTCCTGGCATGGAGAGGGCATCTTGAGTGGCTGAGTGGCTTCAATTAAACCCGTGGAGATTTTGCTGTTGACAAAGATAATATTGAACTCGCTGGAAATTGCGAGGTTTTGTTTAGCCTTTTATAAAGATCATACAGTACTATAGTGCCGTATTTAAAAGGAGGCAACAATCCCGGTGAGAAGGACAAGACCTATAAGACACCCGGCGGCCGGCATCGGTTTATTCGGCTATTCAGAAGGTTTTCTTTAACCGCCCTTCCCTCCCCCCCTGTCCCTTGTAAAGATGCTGGGGTGCCTATAGCTTCGAGATCGGCTATTCAGAGAGGTTAGTCTCCTCACATATTTATTTACTCTCCTGTTGCTCGAGGTCACTGGCGCCTTCCAGCTCTTAGCTTTGTAGCTTAAGCAACTAACCCGCTTGAGAAAGAAAGAACGTAGATACGTTTAAAGCTGTTCGATCCCGCGGAAGCGAAATAACTCGCAGGGGACGAGACCGGCTGGGAATCCCCGGCTTCAGCCAAAAAGGATGGCGGGGCACCCGGGGAACACGTGAAGGCGGGACGGATGTTTCGGGCAGGTGGAAGAAACAAGGGGATGCTTATAACATCAGAGACATGTCCGGACAGAGAGGGATGAGGCTGTCTTGGATTCAGGAGGGGAATAAAGAAGGCGGGAAACACCACAAGCCGACTCTAGCTGACGTGTCAGAACGCCTGGTCCTGTGAAAGATGTTTTTAATGATAGTCCTTCCCGCCCTCACGTGTAAGGCGGGAAATAAATGTTTTTATTTGTTTTTTAAAAAATAAATAACTAAATAAAGCCGAAACTCGTGGTTCAATTTGTAGTGCAATTTCATGCACGCCTGCTCCGGGCAATTGAGCCAGGTAAGTGTGGCTAGAGGAGCGGGCTTGTTGGGCGGCGTGTCTTCCCATGCAGGTATGTGAAGGTGAGGAAAGGAAGAAGAAAGGCGAGATGAAAGAGAAATGAAAGAAGGATTGGCAGGGAAGACAATGGTGAAAAAAAGAACCCTACGAAGTGAGAAGGAGGAGAAGGGAACAACAGCCCGGTGTCGGGAAGACCGGGTGTGTGTGTGTGTGTGTGTGTGTGGGAGGTGAGGATCGCAGAAATGCGAAGCCGCCTGAAAAGTGGACGCGCGCTGCGTAGCCGTGAGAGAGGCTGCGCGGAGGGTCAGGGGTTGTTTGGGGTCGCCGTCCGTGTGGCTGGCGGCGGCGGCGGCGGGGCGGCCTCTCCGTGCGAACCGAAACCTGAGATGGCTTTTGAAATGCAGCCTGCACCTCGCAATCTCCCAGCCTGCCTGTCACCCACACCAGACCTGTCCCCAGAAGCGCGATGCCTCCCTCCCTTCCTCCCCCACCCCCCCAATTTTTGTTCTCTGGCCGATCGCTTCCCTTCCCTCTCGGCGAACGCGTTCCAGCAACCAGAGCCGCGTCCTCGTCTCTCCGTGGCCTCCACTCGCCCCCCAGCAAGGGCTCGTCACAGGATGCTCGTCGGGATCCTGAGCAGCCAAACTGATGAAGGCGATAAGACGTCTGTAGGACATTACAATAGGGGCCGAAGAAAGCGGCGGGGGGCGGAAGGAGCAGGGGAGAAAAGGGCTCGTTTGTCCGCAGGAGAACGGACCCGACACCCAAGCTGCTCGTTTCGCGCACCTTGAGATTCGCCTTTTGTTTCCTGGAAAGGGAAGCCATTTTACTTCTCGGCCTCCTTCCTTTTTCCTGACTGTCAAGCGAAGCCTTTGCCCTTCTTCATTATTCTCCTCCTCAAATGATGTTCTGTTTCTCAGCGTTTCTTTCTTTCATGAGGGAATTAGGAAACCGAGTTCTTTTCATTCAATAGGCGATAAGGAAGCTGGAAAAGATCGCACGGGGGCCGAGGAGTTTTGTTGTTTTATTAACTTGAAAAAAGGAACATATAGAGTGTGCCCAATCCAATTGTTAATTCCGACTAGAGTAGACCCCACGGAATGAATGGGATGTATTAAGAGAGTTGGGCCAAATCCATTTGTCAGCCCCGACTAGACTAGATTCAAAAGTTCTAGTCTAGCTGGGTCTAACAACTGGATTTGGCCCAGTATGAATACCTAAAATGAAAAAGAAAGAAAAGGTAATATGGACTCTGACTGGAACATGCCGTTGGCCGGGGCAGAGTTTTGCTATAGGGAATCACCGTTCAAATTCTTGGTCAGCCCTGAAAACGTGGTTTGCCCTTCTAACGTACTGCACAAGGTTGATATGAAAATGAAATGAGGTGATCTTAAATGCACCTCATTTAATCTTAAATTCCTCAAGGAGGGCCAACGGACGCAAAGCGCCCGCCGGGAGCCCTCAGAGGGACCGGCCGAGCTCTGCTTCCGCAGAGGTGCGGGGTCAAGAAAGGTGGTCGCGCACGTGCGTAAAAGAGGCGGGGAAGTATCTTAAGTCCCTCGAAAACCGGGCGGGAGCGCGCTCGCTTGCTTGCCGAAACTCAGCAGGCACCGGGCAACTCTGCCGGCAAGAAGGAAGGGAAGGAAAGAGCCAAACATTTTGGAGTGGAAACACTCGGCCGCCTAGGAAAGGCGCAACAACTTTAAAGCGCGGAATTGTGTGTCACACGCATATGAACGGAAACCAACGAAAAAACTGGCACGTTGGAACGTGTGCCATGTCAAGACTGTTTTTTTTCAAAGGGGGATAGGTGCGGATGACAGAAAATAGGAAAACCCGTGTAGAACTGAGAATGAGTTGGGCGCGTGGTAGAGTATGCCTGCGACGCGTGTACAGTGAGAAACCCGGCCAGGGAACACGTGCGCGGCCAAAGCTACCCTAGACGGGATGTCATTGGCCAGAATGAAGAACCATTTGGCTGTGTGAATTAAAGATTCTTGCGGATGTGTGGTTCCACGTGTAAGTGGATAATGTCGGAAAACATAGACAAGGTGACGAAAAGCGATGGAAACCTCCGGAGTGTACAGAACAGTTCAAAGGGAGCAGCGCGTGTTAGCACACCCGTGTACAGTACTTTGGAAACTAAAGTCCTACCAGTTCCTTTCTCGCCAGCGCCCCAGGCTGTGTAATTATACACAGTGACATGTTGCATGTTCCTCTTTCATGTGGCTGTTGTTAGTGAGGAAAGGAACTGTGGGATTTCATGCCTCATTGCCTCTACAGGGACATCCCTTTCATGCCCTGTAGAGTTTCACGTTTGCAGTTACTGAAAACTGCGCTCCTACTCAGACACAACAAAAAGCAAGAGCGCTCCTCTCGGCCGCCCGCCCCCCCCCTCCGCCCCTTGCCTCAGCAAAAACAAGCGGCAGTTCTCAGGGTTTTTAAAAACATCCCCCACAATGGAATAATTTAAGAACGAGACACGCACAGTCAGACACACTCCTGCGGTATTAGGGTCTTTCATTCAGACTGAAAGGAGGGAGCATGTGCTGGGAGCTTGATCCTGGAGCAATAAAATATACAGTCTATATAAATTCCAAAGAGTTCACATTTATTTTTAATTGGAAAAAAAGAGAGGACTCTTTGAGGAAATTATTTTAGGCACTGTTTTTTGTGATATTTATTAAATCTGGCAATTTAGACACAGCTGGAAGGATGTCCTATAGAACTCAATGAGCTAGACTTTCCAGCAGACATCTATTCTATAGGACTGTTCCGTACATTCATTATTTGAGATTATATTGTTATGGGTACTTTTGGTTTCTCTGTTACTGTTTTTGGATTTATCCAAGCTAATGGAATATTCCTCTGAATCATTGTGAAAAACCAATCTGTGCTAATTAGGAATTTATTTTTTAAAATTAAAAACTTGAGAGCAGCAGGAGAAAAACTATCTTCAACGTGTTCTTTAAATATGTTAGTTGTTTATTTACTTAGAAACAAATTATATAATCTAGTCATTTCCATGAGAATTACTTTCATCCAAACAAAAGTATTTAAAAGTGGTGGGTTAGGATTAGAATCCCAGTGT